CCCAAACAGGATACTGTTGGATTGAAAATGTATTTGCAAGCGTTCAAGTTGTCATTCAATTCGTCATAATAAAGTTATTGTGAATAACTTCGGCACAGCCCGACCCTTGCAATAAAGACGTTTTTTAAGATGAGGAGAAACAACCATCCAATGGTCGCTGTGATGAGGCAGTGGTAGGAAACAGTAGTTCAGCATTGACCTACATATTACTAGCGTAAGGACCGGGTCGTACGAACAACTAAAACGGACCAGTGTGCTGGCCCTAAAATTACAGTTTAGAGCCAACGCGAATCGTTCGACAGTGGTGCGCGCGCAGGACAGATTTGCCTGTCACAAATATTTAGTTGCGTGGTAAAAGAATGCAAAAATTACGATACAAAGATTAAAAATGAACATGGGATATCGTATCATCGGTAAATAACCTTATATTAATTTTGTTACAACAGAGACTACAGACTTCCATTTGGCACGATCCTGACACACCTCTCTTGCCTCCTTCATATCCATACACCTACGCATTCATGCTCGTCGGTTAAGGGTACTCCTAATTTCGCCCGTTTTCAATAAATCGCCAATTTGGTCGATAAATTTTCGCCTAGGACGTCTCTTTTCGACTCTGCCATTCACTTCTGCACCATAAATTTTCTTTGTCACTCTTTCCTCATTCATTCTTTCTACATGACCAAACCACCGAAGCATTCCTTTCTTAATCCTGGTCACAACATCATCTTGCAAACCACACTCTTCTCTTATTACACAATTTCTTACCCTGTAATTCAGATTCACCTCTAACATACTCCTTAACGACCGCATTTCTACTGCGTTTATTCTACTCTCGTGCTTCTCCTGCCACACCCAACTTTCACTACCATACGTTAAAGTAGGGACCAACACAGCATTGTGAATTGCCATACGTGCCTTTTTCGACACATTTTGACTCTTCGCAATAGAGTGCAGGGCCCCATTTACTCTATTTCCCGCATTCACTCGTCGTTCTATATACTTATCATATCTTCCATCCCTGCTAAATACGCAGCCCAAATATACAAACTCATCTACTTGCTCGATCAACTCCCCTTCTATTCTTATTTCACAAATCGTCTTACTTTCTTTTCTTCAAAAACCATAACCTTCGTCTTACTTGCGTTCACTTTCATACCCCTTTCTTTTAATGATCCTTTCATTAATGTAACCATCATTTGCAACTCGGCCGCCGACGACGCAAGAATAACTTGATCATCGGCGTACAAAAGGCATTTGACGGTTAACTCACCCATTCTTAATCCGCATTCTTCAACTTTCACATTTTGCAAACAACTGTCCATAAATAGGTTGAACAGCCACGGGGAAGCCACACAGTCCTGTCTGATACCTTTATGGATGTCAAACCAGTCCGAGTAGACCCCGTTGATCCTAACACAAGCACTAGAGTCCCTATAAAGAGACTCCAATGCCTGTATCAAGCCAGCACTCAACCCAAATGAGTTCAGTGTTTGCCATAGCAAATCCCTATCCACTCTGTCATAGGCCTTTTTCAAGTCCATGAACGCACAAAAAACCTTTTGTTTTTTGGCCAGAAACTTCTCCGCGATCATGCGCATGGAAAAGACTTGATCTGTACATCCCATTCCCTTTCTAAATCCCGCTTGCACATCCCAAATTTTTCCATCAGTTTCTTTCATGACCCTTTCAATCAGTACCTTAGCATACAGTTTTCCCACAATGCTAAGAAGGCTGATGCCACGGTAGTTTTTACAGTCCTGCTGCGACCCTCTTCCTTTATATACTGGGACTATCACGACTTTGCACCAGTCTACCGGTACCCGCTTCAGTTCCCAGCATAAATTAAACAAGGTGTGCAGCAGGCCTGCCACCACTTCCTCTCCAGCCCTCAGCATTTCGAGTGAAACTCTATCATATCCGGCAGCCTTACCTGCTTTCATGCTTTTCATTGCTTTCATTATTTCATCTATACTTATCTCGCTACCTCTATCCTATTTTATTACACCTACAATTAAATTATTATATAAACGCATTTTTAAAGTTTTATTTTACAGTTAGTTTAGTAACGTTATCAAAGATTAGGCCAGGGTTAGATTCAGACCCTCAAAATATTGTACATGAAAATTAAATTAAAATTTAAAAAAATTATATCACGTTTGACGTTTCATGTTTCTTTTTTCCCCATGTGCGAGGATTTTGGCGTCACGCGTCTAGTTTATCTATACGTTTCGTTTTTTCACGGTTTTATTTTTATTTCTGTTTAATTTTTGTCTAAAGAACCAAGTATAAGTTAAATTTTGAATATTTGTACCTAATATATTTAATATTCAATAAGGGTAAAACGAAAACAGTGCAAAAGAATCCATATCCATTAAATTAAGATTGAATCTGAAAATCTGATTCATAAAATATTTTGAAATTCTGTTTTTAAACCGATTGCTTCTGGAGCATAGTTTCTATCGTGGTAGCCCCTCATTATAGTTGTATCAAGGATGCAACATAAATGCATCGATCGAGCATCGATTGGCCAGAAAGGGAACTCTAACTTTATTTAAAAAAACGCGGTACTCATGTACAACACAGAAATTTTCGATATCGTAGGGTTAATATTAAAATGTAAAAGGACTCAATAATAATACAAGTCGTCGTAGTATTATTACGATACTATGTACTACAAACTATGAAATAATGGTACAATTACGATAATACTACGAAATCCGACCCTGGTTACATGGTGTTTTGATATCACGTTTGTACTATGACAGATGCGCTACTTTTTCTTGTATGAAAAAGTTATGAGTAAAATATTTAGATCCATCCTTTTGAAATCATTGTAGTTAAGTTTGTCAATGACTAAAAGAAAAGGTGGGTACTCGTATTTTGTAAAGATTTCTGGTCTCAAAGGTAAAATATTTGACGGCTCTCTATCAATAATTAGTTATTTATTAATCTTAGAACTAGTTTCGCGTAATGTTAAAAGATCTGAGTAAGAAAAGTTAAGTTAATTAGAGTTAAGAAAATTATAGAAATTTTTCAAAAAATAATATATATACGGTATTTGAGGGTCATATGGTCATCCGGTTAATATGGTCACTTTCTACTTAACTCAATAACTACATCCTTATTTGCATAGAAGGCTATATGATACGATAGCTTTTCATCAATCAATCAAGTAGTAAAGGGTTAAAATGAGAAGGCCGTTTTAACAGTTGATATTATAGTTAATATTTTAGTCGATTTTAGTATGGCATCATGTAGTTAGTTTTTATTAAGTTGATTTTTCGAAGTGTTCCTAATTATTGCCAAAGCTTGTTTGTTTAATAAATATTAGTTAAAGTAAACGGCTTTGTGTTTTTGTATCTATTCTCCTCCTAATTTTGGTTTATAGAGCGGCAACGCTTAAGGTACCATATTATTACCTTCATGTACCTTAATCATTCATTACACTGATACTTCTTGTCTTAATTGGAGCATCGGGTGTATAGGTGTAAAGCAACCGTTGACAACGAATATTTATCCAAAGCAGCCGGCAGGGACTGTAATATCGATATTTTGCAAGTATCGATATCGGGTTATCGATATAAGTACTGATATTGCGGTATCGATTTATCGATATTGGTATCAATATTCGATTTCAGTACAAAAATATCGATACTTATCGGTCAGTTTATCGGTATTGATACTGATACCAATATATCGATACAATAAAAATAAATTCCTCGTTCTCGCGTCTTATTTACTCTCTCTAACATCAACGGTCATAGGTAAGGTACGCGGTCATACGTAAGTACGTTCTGTTTGCGTGTGTTCAAATTGTTTAACGCGTATTATTATTTTTATATACGTATATTTATTTTTATAGTACGGCCGCTGAGTTATTACCGATTTGACAGATTACTCTTAAATTAATCGATATAACCTTGCACGAGCGACACATTTGCGGAATGATTTAGAATACCTCTTTAATATAAAACTTTATGTCAAAATGTCAGAAAGTCAAGTAATTTTCCAATAAACTCTGTTTCAAAACTTAAAATAGTTTGTAAATAATATGAAAACATTTATTTTTTGTTCTTTGGCGCGCTTGTACAAAGTTACATCGTGCGTCTAGTTTTCATAGTGATGTGCTTGGTAGTATTCGGTCCGAATTCATTGGAATAGATATGATATTTATTTTATTTGGATATTTTTATTTTACTTATTCCTTCGAGCAACTAGACTATAATGCTACCATTTTTTTTGCGTCTCCTAATTGCACTGTGTTGCCAGTATCTCTATGATTTTTAACACTTCAGGAATACTTCTGCAGTCGTACCGCATAAGGATTTTAACAATTTGCGATCAACGGATTTGTCAGACTATCGCTTACAGCTAGTATAAGTTAGAAAGTGATAGACTATCATTGGCGTTTTCGCCAAAGTGCTAAAAACGCTTACGCGCTACGACTGCTGAACACAACTTTTGAAAAGGCAAATTTTTTAAATAAAATTGTAAATGAAACAAAGTGTTTTAGTATATTTTGACATTTATTGGTACTATTCATCTCAAAAATTTGACAAAAATTCAAAACGTCAAACAACAACTATTTATTGAAATTTTCTTCAGAAATGAAAAAAAATCCAAGCAAAACATTTTAGTCGGCTGACAAATTTGTAAGGGAAGTCTAAAAATTATTTCATTTCTAAAGAAAATTTTGATAAAGTTGCGAAATATAAATTTATCTACTACTTATAATTACTTAAATTCGATAGATAAAACATGATTATATAAGAGAAGGAGGCCAAAATTATTTTTTTAAAAAAAAAATAAATAAAAAAAAAAAATTTTAATTTTTTTTTTAAAAAAAAAAAAAAAAAAAAAAATTTTATTTTTTAAAAAAATCTATTAAATTGCTTTTTAAATTAAAACGGTACTTCGAAACTACGAATTTCAAAGAAGAAAATAGCCGCTCCACGCTGACTTGAGTGGCTGGACAAGATAAAACAATGCATGCCAATTTATAGAGACGAGGATAAGTGTTTTTTTTTCGACCCCCAGTGATTTAATATGTTTTCTGTCGACTTAAGAAGAGGTTCCTTAAGAAACATAGCAATTTCGTCATCCAAGTTTTTGAATCCATGTGGGCGCATGTTATCAGTTCCTAGTCTTATAAGGTTCTGAATATCACTTTGAGCCTCCACATACTTTGTGCTAAGAAAATCTTCTAACAAAGTTCGAGCACTATCTGTTTCTGTTTGTGAATCAGACGTAGAAGAAGAAGGAGGCAAATTTTCTTTGTCAGTGTTCAAATATTGCAAATGAAGATGTAAATCTAACAGTTTTCTTTTTGCGTTAAGTTGCTGATGTTCAGCCAGTGTTGCATTGATTCTACCATCCAAAAAAATAGCACAAATAAATGCGTCGTTGTTAAGTAACATATTTTCCCTATTTTCCATATAACTTACTAACAAAATGCTCAAGTCCGTAGCAATGGTTTTTAACTTAATTTTGCACAACAACCAATGTAAATAAAAGTCACTGATTGTTAGCTGCTTCTGTTGTAATATTTTTGATAGTTCTTTAGCAGGCAACAAAGAATTCATATAATTCTTTAATGAATTCCAAAAAGTTTCCGTCAGGTGTAAGCTGGAATCAACGGAATTTTCACAAATTTCTTTGAGGTCTATTAATCTCTGAATCATATCCACAGTTGAATTCCATCTTGTAGGACTATCAAGAATAGCTTGATTTTTTCCCGATTTGGATATAATATTAGAGTGTATTTGTGTCCGTAACTTTTTAGCAGTTTGTCGAGCATCGTCAATCACTTGCTTAATATCAGCACCAATCGCAAGCATCTAGTACAGCTAATTGTAATGTATGTGCAGCGCATCATACTACTGCTATACTTCTCTGCTGAGTTGTATTTTCATGACAGTGCATTGACAGTGCTGAGGTAATGGTTTCAGTGAATTGCTCTTCTCTTTCGGTGTCAAATCCCGTGTCACCGTCATAATAATCAGTGTCCGAATCCGAATACGCTGAGTGATTTTCAATATCAACTGTGGAGATCATCATGGAATCCGAACTTTGACCTTCAAAGACGACAGCGTCTTCCATTTCAGTATTTGCGTTTGCACTTTCTTCGCGAACAGCATCAGCAGAAACGTTTCGATTTTCTTCGTTGATTAATCTACTCATCTTTATCATATTTGATCCATTATCAGTTGTGAAACTGTATATGTTTTCTAGACCAATTCGGAATCGTTGAAGAACATCCAAGACTTGGTATTTCAAATGCTCTGAAGTATGTCTTTCAAAGAGTTCAATCATGGCCAAATGTTTTAATATAATATCTCCATTTTCTATGTATTGAGCATTTATTCCCATAAAGCTTCTCAAAGAAAGTGATGCAATGTCTATTTTTATGCAAATCATTTTGTTCTGGAGTTCTTTGGCTAAATCATACCGTAATGTTGCAGCAGTTTCTATGACGTTGTTTCTAATAGTTCGAGAACTCACTTTTATATTGCAGTCAGGTATTAAAGATAAAATATTTTGGAATGCTTCATAATTGAGAAGTGACAGAGGGAGCCCATGATTACAAATAAGTTTCGTACACTCTCTGGTAACAATTTCAGAATTAGGTGTCAATTTTTTTGTATCCCTTTGTTTCATATTAATTTCTTGTAATTCTTTATACTCTTTTTTATGTATTTTAAGATGTTTAAGAAGATTGGAACTGTTGATACTCTGTAACAGAGAAGACAACATGAGATGAGGATAAAGTTAACTTTTCCAAGAAAAGACAAATAAAGGTAGTATTTGTGGAATATGAGATGTACCTAACATTCATATTATTTAAAAGCCTAGTAATAATAGTTAATAAGCATTTATTTTGACACTTCGGAAATCCCTACCAGCCTTCCCCACTGTTGGGGATTTAATCCCCTACTAATATGAAATTAATTAATTTTGTATCATTTTTTAAACCTTAATATATTAAGATTAATTTTTCATACTAATAGTTAGTGGGGCTTGAAATCCTCACCAGTGGGAAAAGCCTGTGGAGATTTTCGGAATAACCCTTGTTAGACAATGTATTTCTTAAAAAAATATTTTTCAAAAACGTTTTCAACACTAACAAACTAAGCAACTTTAATTACTTAAAATTTAACATTTTAAAATTTAATATATTACATACAGTCATTTTAGGTACTATATTTTTTTATAAAGAAATAGGCATTTCTTAAAAGTATTTTATACACAAATTTGGGTAAACAATAATTATGTGAACGACTCAGTGAGTTTCATGCTATAATTTATAGTACAGTGTAATAAAAGTTTCTGAAGATTAGTGTATTTTTCGTATAAATATACAAGAAATAATACAAAGTAAGGCCGATCTTGTTTAGCGGCTCACGTAGGTAACTCCTTGTCACTTTCCTAAGTAAGTACAGAATACATAATAGTACAGGTATAGGCATAAGAACCTACAAAGAATAAATACCTACATAGATATTTTTTTCTAGCTTATGTAAAAAAAAATGCATCGTATGTAACAAAAGGTTATCTCCATCATGAAGTGATGGTAAGCGCAAGTACTTACATCGAGTGACAGAGGCCTGGTATTATCTACTATTTTGAAAATAACTCTAAATGTGTACCTACTTTAATAAGAAACTATATTTTACTTACATTCCCCAAACGTTTATTTAACTTAACATTCCACGAACTATTTTACTTACTGGGTCGTGTGCTCGTGTGCACTACTTGCCTCCAAATTACATCGCAAGACGACCTACTTTTAATAGGTATAACATGCAAATTTTAGAATTTCTGAAGTTTTTCTAAGTAACCAATAGTATTTAGTATTTAATTTATCTGATGAAATGAATACCTAATGTGAGAATTTTATTAGGAAGGTAGGTAGGTAATAGGTATGTATGTATGTAGACTAGTACTTAAATAACAGTTTTAAGTATACATAACACAATATCAGATGATTCGAAGAATTTAACTAAAATAGTTGTAGGTACCTATTGATTATAAAACATTTATCTACCCACTTACAGATTTATGTTAAAACAACGTTACAACAACAGCAACAACAAACAGACTGACATTAATTAATTTAAAATGATTAAAATATTTTACAAGTAATAAATACCTATATAAGACCTAGTTTACTTAAATTTCAATTATAAGGTCTAGGTACATAATTTATTGTATTAATAAGACGAAACGAAGACGAAAATCAGATTTATTCATATGTATTTTCCATCAAATCATCTTAGTTTTTATTGATAACTAGCTATGTAATGTAATGTGTAAGTATAACAAATTGAAACGAAGTAGGTAGGTACTTACATTTAAGTGCTTGTTGCAAATCACGAACTTAGATTTTGATTTAGTTTTTTCAACCTCGAAGTATCTGTAGACGTGATTTTCTTTCTTTCGTCCCATCTCTTTCAGTAGGTATCAAATTTTTTAAATAATCTTATTAAAAAAACAATCACTAGATAAGCACTGATCGTTTACAACTCCGCTCGTTTTCTTTGCGTTTGTGCGCCAACTACTTGCTCGCTCAACGCAGCGTTGCCGCTTCACGTGACACGTGCTGCGAAGTCTGGCAACGTCGCACAGTCATCATAAGTATCGATACCCGATATCGATAAAGGTATCGGTATTTTTATACCGGTATAACACATATCCAACATATACCAAACCCATATACCAAATACTGATAATTAATTGAGTTATCAATACCAATATCGATATTATTAGATAAGTATCGGTTTTTTCAAAATATTGATATCAGTCCCTGGCAGCCGGTACGCAACCGTTGTCAACCGGTTGTTTATCCGAATACAGACGAAAAAGGATGGTTATGTTTTTACTGTGTGTGTGCGGGTGGCTAAACTGAATCGATTTTTGCAATGGTGCTTAAAAACGACTTGACCGATTTAAAAAATTCTTTAATAATTAGAATGCTATTATGACTGAAACGTAGGATACATTTTATTATAGAGGGCTCTACTAACAACAAATATGTCTTTCTAGCTAAATTCGTCAAGTACTTGACCGATTTTGAAAATTCTTTCACCACTAGAATGTTAAGTGTAATTATAGATGTCTCATGTAGGATGCATTTTATTATAGAGGGCGCCACTTTCTATGAATGTGTTTTTTGACTAATCTCAAAAAGTACTCGACCCATTCTGAAAATTCTTTCACCATTACATTGCTAATGGGCGTTAGTTGTGTGATTAAATTATATTATTATAATAATTATTTGTGAGATTAATATTTTTATAATATATAAAAGTAAATACTTACCTAAGATGATTAACAACAATTATTGTTTTTACAATTTAAGAAAATATAATTTATTAAAATAAAACTAAAAGCTGAAAAAAATGCCCAAGTGCGAGTCAGACTCGTTCGCCACTGAAGAGTTCCGTTGTAAGAAGCATAGATCAAAATACCAATATCATTCTATCCAGCAACAAATTACTTTGTTTTTCATAGTGTTTGTGCAAATGACAAAGTTGTATTTGCGGTTTTTGAAAATGTGCTACTTATATCTCAAAAAAAATGGACTATTATACATTAAAGGGCTTTCTGTGGCTTATTCATTACCGTAGAGAAAATACTTATTGCACAAAAAAATTTTTATCCATTTCAAGCTATTAAAAGCGGTTCAAAACGAAAAAACAACGGGTGTTATCGGCTTGGTTGCAATCGTTGACAACCGCCTTCAATCTATAATCAGGTGTATTTACCACGCTAGGGTTGCTGAGGGCGAAGCGAACAGGCGATACTGCCCTCCATTATATATATATATATATATATATATATATATATATATATATATATATATATATATATCTTCTTCTATATATCTATCCTCAGAATCCTTGGTTTAACTCTATAAAAATCAGGATCTGTTTTTGGAAGTTTTAAATTTCCGCTATTTATACAACGTTTCAAGCAACTAGTCGTATTTAAAATAAGCACTTCATAGAAATTCAATCTTAAAAGCTTTATTCCATGCCCAAACATTCCTGATGTGAAGAAACAGATTTAAAAAATAATTATTTATTGACACTTGTATTTAGCGCCAACGTTTATCGTCCGTGTGTAAATATTGTATTCGTAAAATAACGCAGATATATATAAAAAACAAAATTAATAGTTGTTAAAAAATGCATTTGTGCGCGATTAATTGCTATCCATTCTTGCCTTAGGTATAACAAAATATCCTGTAAAAGGGTTTTAAACATAATAACAGAGAATAGAAAATATATCGAGGGCAGTTACCGTTCTAGCCTTTGAAACGGTTTCAAACAAAAGGTCGACTTCCTCACTGTCCTAAGTTAAAGGTTAAACGGTATAACGTCGGATGAACGGGGTGCCCTTTTCATCTGGTTCGTCCTTGAGAAATTTATAATAAACCATTGATATAGTTTCTATACTTGTTTATATAAAATATATGAAATTACATATGAATTTACTTTTCTTCTTTTGTCTATATTGTAACTTGTTCTTCGTTGTTGCTCTTTGCTCGTCATACTGCGATTCGAAAAGGGTCGTTCCAAAAGTGTCATAGGTACTTGTATGGCAGTCACAGTTAATTTGGATTTTACCACAAATATTAGTCACATCCATTCTTACCATAAATGGATTTGGGTCTAGCAAAGCCAGAGTAGGATGCTTAAATTATTAATTAACTAATAATTGATAATCCAAGCCAAAGTCCTTTCATTACTGAGAAAATTTATTAAAAAATAATTAAATATTAAAAAATAAGTTTTTATAAACAAGGTTTCATTTGAATGCTCTAAAAGGAAGAAAATAAACTTTAAAAATTAAACACAAATATTTGTTAGATCACAAAACTTATGTGATATTAAAGCTTTTCGTGAGAGCTATTTTATAAAAAAAAACATTATTTTTTCTTGGAACTATCTACTTATGTCAATATCAAGTTACATATTATTGTATTCTTGTTTGTGTACATGGGTAAATCTCGCGAAAAGCTGTTATAGCATAGAAATAATGTAATGTAATAAATTGATTGACTTGATTTAATTTGAAGTTTTTTTTATTCATTTATATAAAAGCTTGTTTTAAAAAATGTTTTTTTTTACTATTTTATTTTTATTTTTTTAGTTATCACTGGACATGTTTCTTTCACA